CCCAGCTCTGTGAGTGTACGGCTTGAAGTGGTCCTATGGACAGATACTCCAATCTCCGCTGTGGAGCTTTGCAGCTCCTTCAGGGTTATATTTGGTCTCTTTGTTGCCTCTCTGATTAATGCCCTCCTTGCCTGGTCCGTGAGTTTTGGTGGGCAGCCCTCACTTGGCAGGTTTGTTGTGGTGCCATATTCTTTCAATTTTTAAATAATGGATTTAATGGTGCTCTGTGGGAGGTTCAAAGTTTCTGATAATTTTTTATAACCAAACCCTGTTCTGTACTTCTCCACAACTTTGTCACTGACCTGTTTGGAGAGCTCCTTGGTCTTCATGGTGCCACTTGCTTGGTGGTGCCCCTTGCTTAGTGGTGTTGCAGACTCTGGGGCCTTTCAGAACAGGTGTATATATACTGAGATCATGTGACACTTAGATTGCACACAGGTGGACTTTATTTAACTAATTATATGACTTCTGAAGGTAATTGGTTGCACCAGATCTTATTTAGGGGCTTCATAGCAAAGGGTTGAATACATACAGTGAGGGGAAAAAAGTTAAATGATCTGTCTATAATTTTAATGGTAGGTTTATTTGAACAGTGAGAGACAGAATAACAACAACAAAATCCAGAAAAACACATGTCAAAAATGTTATAAATTGATTTGCATTTTAATAAGGGAAATAAGTATTTGACCCCTCTGCAAAACATGACATAGTACTTGGTGGCAAATCCCTTGTTGGCAATCACAGAGGTCAGACGTTTCTTGTAGTTAGCCACAAGGTTTGCACACATCTCAGGAGGGATTTTGTCCCACTCCTCTTTGCAGATCTTCTCCAAGTCATTAAGGTTTCGAGGCTGACGTTTGGCAACACAAACCTTCAGCTCCCTCCACATATTTTCTATGGGATTAAGGTCTGGAGACTGGCTAGGCCACTCCAGGACCTTAATGTGCTTCTTCTTGAGCCACTCCTTTGTTGCCTTGGCCGTGTGTTTTGGGTCATTGTCATGCTGGAATACCCATCCACGACCCATTTTCAATGCCCTGGCTGAGGGAATTAGGTTCTCACCCAAGATTTGACTGTACATGGCCCGTCCATCGTCCCTTTGATGCGGTGAAGTTGTCCTGTCCCCTTAGCAGAAAAACACCCCCAAAGCATAATGTTTCCACCTCCATGTTTGACGGTGGGGATGGTGTTCTTGGGGTCATAGGCAGCATTCCTCCTCCTCCAAACACGGTGAGTTGAGTTGATGCCAAAGAGCTCCATTTTGGTCTCATCTGACCACAACACTTTCACCCAGTTCTCCTCTGAATCATTCAGATGTTCATTGGCAAACTTCAGACGGGCATGTATATGTGCTTTCTTGAGCAGGGGGACCTTGCGGGCGCTGCAGGATTTCAGTCCTTCACGGCGTAGTGTGTTACCAATTGTTTTCTTGGTGACTATGGTCCCAGCTGCCTTGAGATCATTGACAAGATCCTCCCGTGTAGTTCTGGGCTGATTCCTCACCGTTGTCATGATCATTGCAACTCCACGAGGCAACTCCACATGGAGCCCCAGGCCGAGGGAGATTGACAGTTATTTTGTGTTTCTTCCATTTGCGAATAATCGCACCAAGCTGCTTGGCGATGGTCTTGTAGCCCATTCCAGCCTTGTGTAGGTCTACAATCTTGTCCCTGACATCCTTGGAGAGCTCTTTGGTCTTGGCCATGGTGGAGAGTTTGGAATCTGATTGATTGATTGCTTCTGTGGACAGGTGTCTTTTATACAGGTAACAAGCTGAGATTAGGAGCACTCCCTTTAAGAGTGTGCTCCTAATCTCAGCTCATTACCTGTATAAAAGACACCTGGGAGCCAGAAATCTTTCTGATTGAGAGGGGGTCAAATACTTATTTCCCTCATTAAAATGCCAATCAGTTTATAACATTTTTGACATGCGTTTTTCTGGATTTTTTTGTTGTTATTCTGTCTCTCATTGTTCAAATAAACCTACCATTAACATTTTAGACTGATCATTTCTTTGTCAGTGGGCAAACGTACAAAATCAGCAGGGGATCAAATACTTTTTTCCCTCACTGTATGCACGCACCACTTTTCGTTTATTTATTTTTTTGAATCTTTAAAGTACTTTTTTTCATTTCACTTTACCAATTTGGACTATTTTGTGTATGTCCATTACATGAAATCCAAATAAAAATCAATTTAAATTACAGGTTGTAATGCAACAAAATAGTAAAAATGGCAACGGGGATGAATACTTTTGCAAGGCACTGTATCTTTTTTAGTTTTTTTGTATTACTTGTTAAACAAAATGTATTTATCTGAGCAATTGTATAAGTATAAAATAAAATTGAGCATGCAATATAGCTAAGTATTTGTATTATTTATTTTATACAGTCTTTTTTTTTCATCTTTATCAAGGGTGTCACTCATTTTGGATGTGACCGTCTATCAAACATTAACAGTGCTATTAGGCTATTACTTTGTAGGATTGAACAAAGAGGCTTCAGTGAAACTATATATATAAAATCAAGTACAATGTATTTCCATCACATAGGAGACAGTATATAGTGGAAATTAATTATTTTTCTGTTATTTCAAGGACTGTTCCACTATAAAAAAAATATCCCAATTTAATCTACAACAATAACCTACAGTAAGCTAATAAAATACCTACAATATAATCTCAGGGATAACTTGGTGAAAACTGAAACTTCTACAGAAGTTCAGAGAGACGGGGAAATCTTCTGAAGATTAAGATAAGAATCAGCTGTTTTCATCCTTTACTCATCTTTCATAGACCTGTTTTACGGTCACAAGCAAAGAACACACAACAGTAACTTCCCTCAATCATATGTTGCAATGGTCAGTCTTTGTGTAGACAGTCCATTTGTGGCAGTCATCTTCCACTCAACTCAACCGCCTGCCTACACCCCTGAACATGCTGTGGATTTGGCTTGCAATTTATATCTCTGGCTGTCTATCTAATCTTTGCTACCATCTAGTGTCTCAACACCAACATATCAAGCACTGTTTTTTTTTCATGCCATCCATTTACAACAATCCTCAAGCCTGCAATTAAACAATGCTTTGTACTATATTGTACATTGATTATGAACAAACCTAAAGTTTAAAACATAGACAAGAAGGGAGTTTACAGCATAGACAAGAGGGTAACCTAATTGAAACAACCATTGGTTCCTTGTTCCAGCCCCTAACACTTTGGTGTTTTCAGATCACTAGGAACTGGATAGGTATAAGTTCCATTAAGTCCATCACCATATAATTGCTTACACTTATCCAGTCTCTTCAGATCTAAATGTGGATTGCTGGGAGAAAAGGCTAATGGGGGCTAGGGTAATCTTCAACCTGGACAAGGCAATGTCACGTTGTAAAGGTTACTTTAGGATACCTACAGTATTTTGCTTATGGGCCCTGGGTGACTGGGTCTTATGGGCCAACACACAGTGCTGACAACTGGCTCCTGTGAGTGCTGGTGGATGGAGAGTGTAGGGTTTCTGCTTGTCTATTGTTGCCAGTGTAAGCTGATCTGCTGCCTGCTCCCTCCATACAGGAACGTGAGCCTGGGTCGCCTTTCACCTAGTCAGACTGTTGGGATACTCACAACACGAAGTAGGAGGTGGAAAAGAGAGGAATGGACTAGTGACACAACCAGCTCCCAGTGTGTGTGTCTGTTTGAGTGCAGTGCACATATGTGTGTTAGCGCACACGTGTTTGCGTCTGTTTGTGTGGACACTCACACCTGTGCATATGTGTGTTTGATTATATACATGCTAGGGCAGAGAGGCCGAGGGCCCATCCCATCGGCCCCATAGATGAGGATAATAAGCTCCCTCTCCCCCTGAGAACCCCACTGTTCTCTGTGGCCTCTTTAATATGTAACACGCTCCATTGACAGGCCTATGAGTGTGAGTTTACAGGGAAGGGCAGCCTGAAATATTAAAGGGCCTGACGAGCTGCTGCAGGCTCACGTTGTTTGCCCTTCATTAGAGACGAGAGTAGTTTCTGTGGAAGAGCAGAAGGGTAGATAAAGGGAGGAGGAGCTACCCTCCAGGGGACTGTACTACAGATACACAGGGACTAGGCAACAAGATTCTCTCTCTACTATCTGATCCTATAATGTACATCAGTAGTGCAGCATTAGTTTGTCATTAGTTTTTCATAATGAAAAACAGTAAAGGAATAATACACTGGACTGGTCCCGGGAAGGAGGTTGCTTTGAAAACAGAAGCCATGGCAGAACTCCAGAGAACTACCAAGGACCTTTAGGGGGTTTGGAGGACAAACTAGATGGTATGTCATGTTTTGTTATGGGGGTTTTCAGTTCTGTTAGGCATGCTTTTGGTTAAGGACAGTTTTCCTTCAACAGGTAGTATAGAAGATCTGAGTGAGACTGACAAATTTGGTTTTATAACAAATGTTTCTCAATTAGTTGATCTGATATGTCCAAATGTATTGAATACGAGAACATTTCTAACAGATTGTTAGCTATGAGTTTAAAAATACTTAAAATAGTATGAATGTTTCAATTAATTATTAGTAGTTCCAGACACAGCAGAAAGGGAGAAGCACCTAGCACATCATGATAACCATCTCCCCTTTTCAGTGACATAGTTTCAGCCAGTAAATAGATATCTGTGTCTCTGCTTACAGGAGTATTAACCAACCTGTTGTGTTGTATCATCCCACAACTGACTGAACGGACAGAGAATGTTGTAACAGAAGTACACAGCTGACATCAAACATCTGGGTCTCAATTATTTTCTTCAGTCTAAATTTATTATCAATTCCATTCCTCTATTTTCCTCTCTCTTTGTATTAATCAACTGGAACGCTGCATGAATGTTTGATTATTTGAAATGCTAACTATAAAGTAGTAGTAATGTCACTAAAGGACCCTGAGTTTTTCTTGAGAATCCAAACTAACCAGGAAAAACTCTGGGCCATAGCAATAAGCGCCATTCATAATCTGTTCTCCTGTACAGGATGGATGAGGAGGAGGAAGCCCCAGTTCCTGATGCCCCAGACATTCCTGCCCCAGAGGCCCTAGCAGAGGCCCCTGTAGATCCCCCGGTAGAGGGCGGTGTGGAGGCCGGAGGAGTTCAGCCATCCAGAGACAGCCGTAAACTGGACTGTATCATCTGCTACTGTGCCTTCAACCTGACTGAGAGGCTGCCACGCAAGCTCTACTGCGGCCACACCTTCTGCCAGGCCTGCCTGAGACGACTCGACACCATCCTCAATGAGCAGGTGGGTCTGACTGACTGTCACGACACCGGTCCCACCATAGACTCACACAGAGGCAGGATCTATCTCAATGGACTAAGATATGCTAGTTAAACTGTAAAAGATATTTGATAAGATATTCAATATTTTTGGACCACTTCCAGAATTATTCAAACAGACTGGGCCTTGTCCCAAAACGTGCAGTAATTTGGCAAACTATAGCTCACTTGTTCCCTTCATGAAAAGGAACACTAATTTGTTGAAGATCAGCCAATACGCATCATCTCAAACTCATTTTAAGATGACCAAAGCTGCAGAGTGATGGATTGCATCAAGACACTTTTCTAGGGAGGGATTCTGTATTGAACACAACAGTCAGAACTGTTAGACCACCTAAAAGAGGTGTGTTCAGTTTGACACTAACATGTGTCCCAAGTGACAACCCTTACCCTGCCCTCTCTTCTACTCCCAGCAGATGTGGATCCCCTGTCCACAGTGTCGGCAGAACACCCCTCTCCCACGCGGGGGTGCTACAGCCCTGGACCTGGACCTAGCAGCCTTCCTGGGGGTCAAGGCCGAGATGGAAAACCAGAGGTCCAGCCCCCGGCAGGGAGGAAGAGAACTAGGCACCCAGCTCGAGCACAAGCCCTCTTTTGGGAAGCATTCCATCATTGAGCAGCCTCAGGCCACCTGGAATCATGGAGGACTGGCTGAGCCTCGCTTTCACAGGAGCCCCTGCTGCAGGCGCTTCTTCTGCTGCTGGTGGTGCTGCTAAGTCATGTATGAATGACAGGAGTTGATTAAAGCATCTGGCCAATAGTTTTCCCCATTACAGTACCTCCTGCAGCTGATTATAGGGACGCCTGGGCTTCCAAGGCTACAAAGTGGAAAACCCTAGGGCCTGACTGCCTGACCTAAAAAAACTCCAGGCCTTATTTGTTTGATTTACACTACCAGGAAGAACAGTGGTCAGGAGACAAAGTTGTGTGGGGGACAACATTGTGTCGGTATCGTTTTACAAACACACAGTGTATGTGTATGATTTGTTTATGATTTGAAGACTCATAGGAGAAAGAATGTTTCAGCCCTCAAAATGGGATGCTTGATAAGGACCTCCATTTTGAGCTTGCCTACAACCCAAAGAATCCTCGGCTGCCTCCTTTCAAATAAGCAACTGGACATATGGCCTATCGGTACCTTGTGGAACAGTCAACTGTTGAAAGTATCATTATATGCACACCTTTTTGAGTTATAGTATCATTTATAAGTGTGTTTAATGTATGTATGTAACCATTTTGTCATGTGGAAGTGTAAAATAATGAAAGATATTATGGAGTTTGTTTTTATTAAAAACCAAAACAAATGGCAATTGGATCAACTTCTGACCCCAAATGACTCATTGTGTTTAAAAATCACCTAAAACAATGTTATAAAAAAAAAAAAAAAAAAGAATCTGGGAGAAAGGACAGAAGGTATGTCCACAACTTCAAAGTTGTAGACAACATCAACAGCCTCAAATGTTGTTGTTCAATAATAATTGAACCATCTACTAAATGTCAATCAGACAAATTCAGAATATTTAGGATGTTCAGATTAATCAATCAATCGAGAAGTTATTTTGCAGATCTTGGTTCAACATTCTTCTATTTGCATGGAATGACAGTCAGGTATTACCATAGAAATAGAATGTCATTCTATTTCTATGGTAGTACAGGTATGGTTACAGTTAGTACCATAGAAATTCATTCTATTTCTATGGGTATTTCTATGGGTGGTCCTTCCTCTCCTCCTCACTCTGACATCCAGAGCTTGAAGGTGCGGTCGTAGGAGCAGGTGGCGATGAGCTGTCCGTCAGGGGACATGTCCACGCCCATCACCTTGCCCTCGTGGCCCGCCAGGGTCTTCAGGGGGGACCAGCCCGGGTGGGTCCACACCTTGGCTGTGTTGTCATAGGCCCCGGTCAGGAGGAAGTGACCATTATTGGCTAAGAGAGGGAGATTGATGGAGGGAAATGTGAACACAGAAATATTGCAACAGAAAGATACAACTCAAACTCTGCATATGAACTGCTTTTTTTTATCCAGCTAGACTTAGAGTTCAGACTTTTTGAAAGGTTAAGACATTGTTATTAAAAGTCCAAAATTATGTTCACAAACACAACATCAGTTCTTAAGTGTCTTATAGAGCCGGTTATTGCATCTGCCTTATTTTCCATTTAGGAGGTTATAACCAGTTATAACAGCACAGAACAAGCCGCTAAACTTTCTCAGTCCTCCAAAAGTGTGTGTGATAGATTGAGCTGTTGCAAAAAATATCCCATGGCTGAAACTAAAGTCGATCTCTAAACTTTTTGGCTTGAGGGCAACATTTGGAATTTCAAAATTCAACGTAGGGCTGCACATATGTTTTTATGTCTGATTTGTTTGTCAAAATCGATTTGCGGGCCAGAAAAAGGGCAGTTATTTGAAAATGTATAGGTCCATTATCATTTCTACATACTTTCTATCTAGTTTTAGACATTCTAACCTAATGTGTCATCCATATGACGGAAATCCGTCGCAGTGACAGAACTTTCAACCCTGTGATTACTCAATTGCTTAATTAAAGGAGGCCTCTGGGACCTGGAGAAACTCACGCTGGAATTTGACAGAGGACACCAGGTTCTGATGGGAGGGGATGGTGTAGATGCACTTCCTGCGACGAAGGTCCCACACCTTACAGGTGTTATCCCCACTTCCTGTTGCTGCGTGGTAGCTAAACGGAGGAGAAGATGGTTTCATTAGTGGACCTATAAACACCCTCCTGCTTATCATCATCAATAAGTAGGGCCAGGAGTTTTTCTTCATCATTGAATAACTCTGGGCTGTAGTTCTAGATCACATGTTCAGGAATATCTGGCCCTATCCATAAGATATGAATAACACAGTATCTTCCATGTCATTTACCCGTTGGGAGAGAAGTCGATGCTGTAGATCTCTTTGAGGTGGCCCTCCAGGAACATCACACAGCGCCCGGTCCGAAGGTCCCAAATACGCCCAAATGAATCCAGACCCCTGAGAAAGAGAGATGAATATTGTGTAGTGAAGCAAACTAGGATTCAACCAACAGTACAGATGATGAGGGCTAAATAGGGATCTGTCATTCTTTCTACTGTAAATCATTCTGTGCTGAATTGCACCAGTCAAGATGCTTTACAACAAACAAAAAGATACATCTGTACACAAACACAACGTCAGCTCTAATGTGTCACATGTAGCCGGTTTGTCGCATCTGCCTTCATTTTCATTTAGGAGGTTATAACCAGTTATAACAGCACAGAACGAGCTGCTAAACCTTCTCAGTCCTCCAAATTGTTCAGGTAGTAGATTGAGTTGATTATATGCATGAGATCAATGTGCACTGAAAGAGTAGTGTGTGTGTGTGTGTGTGTGTGTGTGTAAGGCAGCATGTTATTATGACGAAGGGAGATGAAGGGAACATCCCTGTATGATTCAGACCAAGCCAGCCACTGAGAGGCTCTTGTTCTGCCAAGCCTCTAATTGAGATAACTGGGTGGACATCTACTAGCCTTCATTAAAACAGACTATTAAATCAGACCATTGTTTTACTATAGCGACCACTCCCTTTAATAGGCTAATCTAGATCTGCTCTATGACCTGACGGCACTTCAATTACGGGGTTGATTAAAGCCTTTTCTAGATAATATCTTAGTTTTGGGGAGGGCACTGAGATCACAGTTATCTGAAGCCAAGGTTTGTTGTAAAAAATAATGGGTTAATACTCTACAAAAGTCACCCGCCATTTGCTAGATTTGCTGGCAACATCCATTGCAACAGCATGTGCAGGGAAAACCAAAAGAGAACACAGAAATTAATTACGCTTCAGGGATATCTTCAACAGTATCTCCAATAAGTCGCTCTGGATAAGAGCGTCTGCTAAATGACAAAAAAATAAAATAAAACAAATAAAATAAATAAAATAATAATGACGTATTGTAAACAAATATTGACAATAATAATATAATAATATGCCATTTAGCAGACGCTTTTATCCAAAGCGACTTACAGTCATGCGTGCATACATTTTTTGTGTATGGGTGGTCCCGGGGATCGAACCCACTACCTTGGCGTTACAAGCGCCGTGCTCTACCAGCTGAGCTACAGAGGACATTGACTTTCAACTGACATTGACTTTCAATGACATTGACTGACATTGACTTTCATAGCATATCCAGTGAGATCTTACCCAGTAGCTGCCAGAGATCCATCAGGGTGGAATTGCATGTCATGGACTCCTTTACTGTGTCCCTCTTGGTGCAGGATCTCCTCCTGGGCCTCCAGGTCCCACAGCCTCCATGAATTATCATAACTGCCAAGGAGAGAGGATTAAGCCCCACTTCAGATTCAATTTGAACAAATCAAGTCTGGCCAGAGTACGATTGATCCATTTCTATGGTTGAGACATTTGGTACAAGTGATCATGTTTCGTTTTTATTGTATTGCCTGGAGTTCTCAACTGACGTGCCGGGGTTAAATAATGCTTCAGAATAAATTCACCCACCAGGTGGTGCCCAGGAACCTTCCAGAGGGGTGCCAGGCTACTCTTGCCACCCTCATGGAGTGGCCCTCGATGTCAGCTACAGGTACATCACTGTAAAGAGAGGGGTCACCATGGTCACAAAACATCGACATGCATTTTAAATCACCACCATTCATTTCACAACTAACTCCACAACCTCAGCTATGGTTTATGATGATACCTGACGAACATTTGGGAAAAACCTACACTGCTTTTGTCGACCCCTCACCCTTTTTTCCGGAATAATATTTTATTAACCATTAGGTAGTCTCCCTTATTTGACAGATGGAGATAAAGACAGACACACAGTATGATAGCAATCAGAGCAGACCTGTCCAGACTCCAGAGTTTGACGGAGCCGTCGGCAGCACAGGAGGCCATGTTAACATCAGAGTCGTCCAGAGTCAGAGTGGCCTGAGGATGGAAACAGATGGCCCCCACGTGGGTGTTGTGGCCTGAGGGGAGGGAAAGAGAACAACACAAGATGATAAGGATGCACAAATAAATCCTGAAAAACACATGTCAAAAATGTTATACATTGATTTGCATTTTAATGAGGGAAATAAGTATTTGACCCCCTCTCTATCAGAAAGATTTCTGGCTCCCAGGTGTCTTTTATACAGGTAACGAGCTGAGATTAGGAGCACACTCTTAAAGGGAGTGCTCCTAATCTCAGCTTGTTAACTGTATAAAAGACACCTGTCCACAGAAGCAATCAATCAATCAGATTCCAAACTCTCCACCATGGCCAAGACCAACGAGCTCTCCAAGGATGTCAGGGACAAGATTGTAGACCTACACAAGGCTGGAATGGGCTACAAGACCATTGCCAAGCAGCTTGGTGAGAAGGTGACAACAGTTGGTGCGATTATTCGCAAATGGAAGAAACACAAAATAACTGTCAATCTCCCTCGGCCTGGGGCTCCATGCAAGATCTCACCTCGTGGAGTTGCAATGATCATGAGAACGGTGAGGAATCAGCCCAGAACTACACAGGAGGATCTTGTCAATGATCTCAAGGCAGCTGGGACCATAGTCACCAAGAACACAATTGGTAACACACTACACCGTGAAGGACTGAAATCCTGCAGCGCCCGCAAGGTCCCCCTGCTCAAGAAAGCACATATACAGGCCTGTCTGAAGTTTGCCAATGAACATCTGAATGATTCAGAGGAGAACTGGGTGAAAGTGTTGTGGTCAGATGAGACCAGAATCAAGCTCTTTGGCATCAACTCAACTCGCCATGTTTGGAGGAGGAGGAATGCTGCCTATGACCCCAAGAACACCATCCCCACCGCCAAACATGGAGATGGAAACATTATGCTTTGGGGGTGTTTTTCTGCTAAGGGGACAGGACAACTTCACCGCATCAAAGGGACGATGGACGGGGCCATGTACTGTCAAATCTTGGGTGAGAACCTCCTTCCCTCAGCCAGGGCATTGAAAATGGGTCGTGGATGGGTATTCCAGCATGACAATGACCCAAAACACACAGCCAAGGCAACAAAGGAGTGGCTCAAGAAGAAGCACATTAAGGTCCTGGAGTGGCCTAGCCAGTCTCCAGACCTTAATCCCATAGAAAATCTGTGGAGGGAGCTGAAGGTTCGAGTTGCCAAACGTCAGGCTCGAAACCTTAATGACTTGGAGAAGATCTGCAAAGAGGAGTGGGACAAAATCCCTCCTGAGATGTGTGCAAACCTGGTGGCCAACTACAAGAAACATCTGACCTCTGTGATTGCCAACAAGGGTTTTGCCACCAAGTACTAAGTCATGTTTTGCAGAGGGGTCAAATACTTATTTCCCTCATTAAAATGCAAATCAATTTATAACATTTTTGACATGCGTTTTTCTGGAATTTTTTGTTGTTATTCTGTCTCTCACTGTTCAAATAAACCTACCATTAAAATTATAGACTGATCATGTCTTTGTCAGTGGGCAAACGTACAAAATCAGCAGGGGATCAAATCCTTTTTCCCCCTCACTGTATAAGGTTTGGAAATACTTTTATTTTACTTCAGAATTATTACAGACTTCAGTAGCCCAAGCAAAGAGTATTTGCAAAGAAGGGGGAAAAGGATTGAGCAATATAAGAGATTCTTCTTACCCCGAAGGGTACGGACAAGGGTACAGTCAGGAGCATTCCACAGTTTACACAGGCCACTCCTAGAGAGAAAAACAAGTCAGGAAGACTGAGGGAAAAGTCACACATACCTTTTTGATAGCAACATTTTAAATACAAAACACACCCAAAGTCATTCAGTACGTTTACATGCACACTAATAATTTGATAGTAAACCAATTACGGCAGTAGGCTGAGTATAGAAATTCTAATGTAAACACTTTACTATGCATATCTGGCGTAAAGTCAAAATCTAAATAAGCACACGCCGATTAAAACACCCGATTTTCTGAAAAATCGTTTGAATTATTAGGACACGTAAACAGCTTAATCAGCGTTCCAGCTATGTATTTGATCTGCGCATTTGCCAGCACAGGCTAGCGCAAGCCTCCCTCTTATGCGAGAGTGAAGTGAGTTCGGAAAAACTGAAAGTATGCATCTTAGAAAGAGTTCACATACAAACGTTATATGTCCAAACTCAATATCAAAAATGGTCACTGTGGTAGAAAGTTTATTTTGATTGGCGATTTTCTGCATTTATCAAATGTTCCATCAGTAGCCTGATTTCCATGTAAACATGATTATTAGGGACATCGTTCTCCTTGCAAAGTACGTAAACATTTTAAACAAACTACTACATTAAATCGGACTATCCATAATAATCGTATTATTGTGTGCATGTAACCATGCTCACTGCTGCCTGTGCGGTACACTGAGAGGGGACTCACCAAGATGCAGTCACCAGCATTTTGGAGTTGGGGCTGAACTGGCAAAAGGATATAGGCCTGTCGTCACCAATCTGACTGCAGAAGTTATTCAGGTTCTGGATAGGCAGAGGAAATCATGTCATTCTACAACTGTTTTTCACAAACAAGACAGGTCCTTTCATGCTTTTGGACGTACCCTGAGTGTCTTGTGAAGTTCTTGTGTTCGGACTGTTCGTGTAGATTCTGGGATCTCCCTGTGAGCTCTGGCGGCTTCTAACCTTTTCACGGCCCTGTTGAGACATCACACATGTTTTTATGAATATAATTTTGCTGAAAAACCAATTCCCTTCAGTTTTCTAAGACAACCTTTGAAACTATCATTGTCATCATGGTAACTATGGTCCAACATTAGAATAAAGCTGTACCTTGGCAGAGAGTATCTGGCCAACCAGAGCCTTGCCTCCTTAAGAGTGGTCGGTCCCTCATGGTACCACGTCTGCTGACACTGAAAGAGGGGGACAGGAGAATATATCAAATGTGTGTATCTCCATATTGAATGAATACTGACTGTAAAAGTTGTAGTAGTGAGAGAAAGATATAGGAGAGTCAAGCCACATATCATACCTCCTCTTGGGAGCGTTTGGATTTCTCATCATCCTTCTTAGATTTCTTCAATGCATCTGGACCCACTACAGAGAGGATATTCCTTAGCCTGGAAAAGAGAGCAAGTACAAATTGAGCAGGGAGAGGGGAAGAGAGATTGTGAGTAAAGATGGACATAATGCAAGTAAAATATAACTATCGATACAGTGTGTTAAAGCATTAAGGCAATTCTTCAAAACGGCTGTTTTAATTGGCGAGTTAACATGTTGTAAAAGCATCAGCAAAGGGTCACAGATGTGTGGATTGTTCATTCACACATTCAAATATTAGAAGGGGTGGACAGAGCCATGCTTGTGTCCCTCACCTCTCTCGTCTCTCAGCAGGCCCCTCCCCAAACAGTGTGATTGGTTCCCTGAGGGCCCGTAAGCAGGCTTTGACCTCTGCATCATCTGTGGATACTGTGATTTGTCTCGCTCTCTTTCTGCGCTCAAAATCTGCCAATACCTCAGACTGGCGCTCACTCACACGTTCCTCAAGCTCAAGGGACTCACCTGAGGGGAGAGGAGATAATAAATTAGATGATACCGCCACAAACTTTTCATAATTGTTTTCAAATACAGATTTGTGTTTGTTGACAGTTTGTGGTTGGTATACTAACCACTGGAGATGTTAATGTTGCCAGCCTCAATTCCTGCTTTGACAGAATCTTTGCCTGACCCAGAGGCCTCTCGTCCCAGCCTCTCCCTCTCCTTCTCCTCCAAACTGCCATAGAAGATCCTGGTCTTCTTCACCAGCGGAGCTTCTTCATCGTCAGACATTTCTAGTCCTTATGTCTGGTCCCACTGTTTACCACAATGATACTGACCTGGAATAGATAAGACATACACAGATAAATTAATGATAACTTGATAGTAAAACACCTCAATCGCTATAGCTAATGAGGCAAAGTGTAAAACTACTGTACCTAGCAATTTGCTGACCAACAATAGCCAAGTCCCTAATCAGTAAATCAAATGACTAAGATGCATTGACAAAATCTTGGGGAGTTTGTGCTGCCTTCCTACACAAGAGCACGTTGACGAAGCCTAGCTAGCTAACGTTAGCAAACAGCACTCAACAGTTTGCCAACAGCAAAAGCATTCCCCAAACAGACAAAATTCTCAACATTTACGGTGATTACGTTAACTGTATTTCAGTCTTGGGTTCGAAATAACAAAGCAACTACAAAAGAACAGTAACTAGCTAAATCTAATTACAAAAGTGGTAGCCGCGTCGTATCTCCGTCTGTGCACAGGAAGTTGTTTATCGAAAGAGTTGGTTTGAAATTTCACAGCGACATCTAGTGTAAATGAGTCAAACCGAATATCTTCCTCTGGGTCAAACCAATGGCCGTGTTCGAGAGCATCCAAACCGTGATGTATCATGGGTAAATTCTGACTTTATCTATAAACAATATTGGGCGCGTTCGAGCAGATCACTTTTGTCAAGACGTTGACCAACGTTGGTCACCGCCTTTCAAAGTGTGTTGCATTATGGGTATATGTCAGATTTGCGATGACATGTCGACTGCATGACCTTTACAACAACCATGTGATCAAAGGTCATGAACTTTCGACTGCAGTTGACTGGAAATTTCTGCAGTTGCCCCTCACCAACTGCAACTTGAAGTCGGAACTAAAGCATTGTGGGAGACAGCCTTCTGGTTTTTTGGAAGCAAAAGGCACTACATGCTCATAAATGGTTGATGTTACCAACTATCATTGGTTATTATCAGTGCATGTTTACAATTTAGGGTGGATGACTATTTAGAGCATTAATACATCTTAATCCTTACAATCTCATTATATAGGCGTACATATGATCCACATTTCTAACATAAATAAATGAAATATCCTACTTGTGACAATATAGCTAATGTATTTATCTAGATGTTACTGTAATGTTGTGTCCAATGTTATAGCCTACAATTGTCTTGTCTGTAATATTGTTGTCACCAAACAAATTCTAATTGGTTGATTGTCTATGAAGTGTGAATAAAATGGAATACACATTGTAGGCTACACATGGGCTATTGTCAGACATTTATACACTGGCAATTTTAGAGGCTTAATCTGTGCCGGGAATCCGGCCCTTAATGAGCAAGTACCCCAGACACCAGTCATGGGGTCAATTTTTAAATTTTATATTTCACCTTTATTTACCCAGGTAAGCCAGTTGAGAACAAGTTCTCATTTACAACTGCGACCTGGCCAAGATAAAGCAAAGCAGTGCGATAAAAACAACAACACAGAGCGCAGTGGTCTAAGGCGCCGCATCGCAGTGCTAACTGTGCCACTAGAGATCCTGGTTCGAATCCAGGCTCTGTCGCAGCCGGCCGCGACCGGGAGACTCATGGGCGGCGCACAATTGGCCCAGCGTCGTCCAGGGTAGGGGAGGGAATGGCCGGCAGGGATGTAGCTCAGTTGATAGAGCATGGCGTTTGCAACGCCAGGGTTGTGGGTTCGATTCCCACGGGGGGCCAGTATAAAAAATAAAAAATAAAAATATAAAAAATATGTATTCACTAACTGTAAGTCGCTCTGGATAAGAGCGTCTGCTAAATGACTTAAATGTAAAACAAAACATAAAGTCAAAAATACAACAGAAATATATATATACAGTGTGTGCAAATGTAGCAAGTTATGGAGGTAAGGAAATAAATAGGCCATAGTGCAAAATAATTACAATTAGTATTAACACTGGAATGATAGATGTGCAAGAGATGATGCGCAAATAGAGATACTGGGGTGCAAATTAGCAAAATAAATAAATAATATGGGGATGAGGTAGTTGGGTGGGCTAATTACAGATGGGCTGTGTACAGGTGCAGTGATCGGTAAGGTGCTCTGACAACTGATGCTTAAAGTTAGTGAGGGAGATAAGAGTCTCCAGCTTCAGAGATTTTTGCAGTTCGTTCCAGTCATTGGCAGCAGAGAACTGGAAGGAATGGCGGCCAAAGGAGGTGTTGGCTTTGGGGATGACCAGTGAGATATACCTGCTGGAGCGCATACTACGGGTGGGTGTTGCTATGGTGACCAATGAGCTAAGATAAGGCAGGGATTTGCCTAGCAGTGATTTATAGATGGCCTGGAGCCAGTGGGTTTGGCGACGAATATGTAGTGAGGACCAGCCAACAAGAGCGTACAGGTCACAGTGGTGGGTAGTATATGGGGCTTTGGTGACAAAACGTATGGCACTGTGATAGACTACATCCAATTTGCTGAGTAGAGTGTTGGAGGCTATTTTGTAAATGACATCGCCAAAGTCAAGGATCGGTAGGATAGTCAGTTTTACAAGGGCATGTTTGGCAGCATGAGTGAAGGAGGCTTTGTTGCGAAATAGGAAGCCGATTCTAGATTTAACTTTGGATTGGAGATGCTTAATGTGAGTCTGGAAGGAGAGTTTACAGTCTAACCAGACACCTAGGTATTTGTAGTTGTCCACATACTCTAGGTCTGACACGTCGAGAGTAGTGATTCTAGTCGGGTGGGCGGGTGCCAGCAGCGTTTCGATTGAAGAGCATGCATTTAGTTTTACTAGTGTTAAAGAGCAGTTGGAGGCTACGGAAGGAGTGTTGTATGGCATTGAAGCTCGTTTGGAGGTTTGTTAACACAGTGTCCAATGAAGGGCCAGATGTATACAAAATGGTGTCGTCTGCGTAGAGGTGGATCTGAGAGTCACCAGCAGCAAGAGCGCCATCATTGATATACACAGAGAAAAGAGTCGGCCCAAGAATTGAACCCTGTGGCACCCCCATAGAGACTGCCATAGGTCCAGACAACAGGCCCTCCAATTTGACACATTGAACTCTATCTGAGAAGTAGTTGGTGAACCAGGCGAGGCAGTCATTTGAGAAACCAAGGCTATTTAGTCTGCCAATAAGAATGTGGTGGTTGACAGAGTCAAAAGCCTTGGCCAGGTCGATGAAGACGGCTGCACAGTATTGTCTATAATCGATCGCGGTTATAATATCGTTTAGGACCTTGAGCGTGGCTGAGGTGCACCCATGACCAGCTCGGAAACCGGATTGCATAGCGGAGAAGGTACGGTGGGATTCGAAATGGTCGGTGATCTGTTTGTTAACTTGGCTTTCAAAAACTTTCGAATGGCAGGGCAGGATGGATATAGGTCTGTAACAGTTTGGATCTAGAGTGTCACCCCCATGACCGCGGTAGCTTTCCAATCTCTGGGGATCTCAGACGTTACGAAAGAGAGGTTGAAAAGGCTAGTAATAGGGGTTGTGACAATTTCAGCGGCTATTTTTGGAAAGAAAGGGTCCAGATTGTCTAGCCCAGATGATTTGTAGGGGTCCAGATTTTGCAGCTCTTTCAGAACATCAGCTGTCTGAATTTGTGTAAAGGAGCAGCAGGGGGGGGCATGGGCAAGTTGCAGCGGAGGGTGCAGAGCTGGTGGCCGGGGTAGTGGTAGCCAAGTGGAAAGCATGGCCAGCCGTAGCAAAATGCTTGTTGAAATTCTCGATTATTGTAGATTTATCAGTGGTGATAGTGTTTCCTAGCCTCAGTGCAATGGGCAGCTGGGAGGAGGTGCTCTTATTCTCCATGGACTTTACAGTGTCCCAAAACATATTGGAGTTAGTGCTACAGGATGCACATTTCTGTTTGAAAAAGCTAGCCTTTGCTTTCCTAACTGCTTGTGTATATTGGTTCCTAACTTCCCTGAAAAGTTGCATATCGCGGGGGCTATTCGATGCTAATGCAGTACACCAATACCAAGTACATTTGACTTCTTGGCATATTGTTTACCCAGTAACTTAAATGAACTGCTGTATATGTAGTCTAATCATTTTCGTATTGTTTACCCAGTATGTGAACTGATGTACAGTACCAGTCAAAAGTTTGGAAACACCTACTCATTCAAGGGTTTTTCTTTATTTGTTGATTTCTTCACTATTATTCTACAATGTAGAAAATAGTAAAAATAAAGAAAAACCCTTGAATGAGTAGCTGTCCAAACTTTTGACTGGTACTGTACATGTATTATCTAATACTTTTCTGTACAGTGAGTGTTTTGTCTTTCATGTGATTGAATCAAATTATGTTCTTTACATGGTTACTGACAGAAACAACATAAAGGCTGAGAATGAAAGAAATACACTGCAGACTGTAGTGATGCTGACATGCAATCAATTACCATACAGTAAGAATCTTTTTTGACTCAATTTTAATCACATCTGTTACAATTCCATGTTGCACAATCACAAATAATAATGAGGAAAGTACAAGGGGATGAAGTAATGGTAAACAACAGAGCATAAACACCTATATGTTCTCATTCTAGTAGCCTATGCACTCACTACCTGGTCTTGTGAACGTTAGAAAGAGCTTGGGCTGGTATCTAATTTCCTTATCATCGGGATATTCATTCCTTGGACCATGTTAAGCTTCGTGTAGGAGAAGTGGAATTTACATAGCATCCACTTCATCGGCAACAACAAAGGCGAATGCCATGTCTGCCATTGTCGCGTTTCCTAGAAACAGTAGAAATTGTCCGACTTGCAGTTGGTTTACTCATCAGCTTCTGTCTACAGTCGTCTAATTTCGGTTTACCGATCAAACGCGCCTATTGAGTAGTTGCAAGGTGATTTGTAGATTAGTCAGTCTTGACTCCCCTTTAAAGTCGGCTGCAATAGAGCTCGCCAGCTTGTTCTACTAAAACCCCAAAATTAGTTACATCTGGTTCCTTCAGCCATTCCTATGACAAAAATGTATGGGGAAAGAATGGGGTTTTCAGATAAACGCCGAAAATTAAGGTCTGAGGTTAACACAGGTTTAGGATATCTCGTACGTTTTGTTCTATGATATAATATCAGTCAGTTAACATGACCTTTATGAATTATGTGCTTTCTTTGATTACATAAATTATTCAAAATTCACAAAAAGTGACATTAGCTTATGAAGATTATCTCATAGAACAAAACTTATAAGATGTCCTAATTTTGAAGCGTTTATGTAATAAAAAAGAAAGCACAAAGGTCATGTTAACTGACTAATATTATCTCATAGAACAAAACGTATAAACTCTCATAAGCCTGTGTTTACCACAGACCTTATTTTCGGCATTTATCCAAAAACCCTACAAAAACTTCATTAATTTTCCCATAGGCTTTGTCGAAACCACGTGGTGGAGTTAGTGCTTACAAAAAGATGCTAAAACCCAGAAATGTGTTACCTCTGTTTCGTTCAGCCATTTCTATGGGGGAAATTAATGGGGAAAGAAAATAGTTTTGGGATAAATGTCGAAAATAAGGTCTGAGGTTAACACAGGCTTAGGAGATGTTATACGTTTTGTTCTATAAGATAATATCTGTCAGTTAACATTACCTTTATGAACTATGAAACCTTTGTGCTGTTTTTGATAACATAAATGTTTCAAAATTCACCAAAAAGGTACTTTAGTTGATGAAGACGATCTCATAGAACAAAACATATCAGCATGTGTTTAAAACATACCTTATTTCGGCGTTTATCACCATTAATTTCCCCATAGGCTTTGTCCAACGAACCATGGCGGGGTTAGTGCCTACAAAAATATGACGTTACTATTGCCATTTCCGCCATGGTTCGTAGGACCAAATAAGGTATGTGATAAACACAGGCTTAGGAGATCTTTTATGTTTTGTTCTATAAAATAATATGAATCAGCTAACTTGTGAATTTTTAAGCATTTATGTAATAAAAAATAAAAAAAACTAGCATATAAAGGCTTAATAATTCATAAAGGTCATGTTAATTGACTGATATTATTTCATAGAACAAAACGTATAATTTTCGGCATTTATCCCAAAACCCTATGCTTTCCAATTCATTTGAATGGCTGAACGAACCAAAACGAACCAGAGGTAACTAATTTACGGGTTTTAGGACTACACGATGGCGAGCTCTATGGGTCAAACACGCCCACGCGGGGCACTGCTGAAAAACTACTTTACCCAGAAGCTTTTCGTCAATTTATGGCGGATTCTACAGAGCGTGGCTAGCTAGCTTATATACAAAAAAACAACAACAAAATGTAAGTAAATATGAACGATTTGCCTGTTTCATTGTGTCTCAGAGACGAAGTATTGACGTGGAGAGCTCGCTATTTTGGTCTCTTTTGCCAAGTTTGGTCCGTCTTTGTAGTCTTTGATCCAGTTAGCCAGCTAACACGCCGTTACTAACTAGCTAGCTTGTTAGTTAGCTACTAGCTAGGAGTAGGACGTTGCAGAGATTTGAGTGCAATTAATTTCTTTGGTAGCCTAAATCATATCAAATGTTATTTGTCACAGGCTTCGTAAACAACAGGTGTAGACTAACAGTGACATTATTACTTACGTGTCCTTTTTCAACAATGCAGAGTGAACAAAAATTACTAATTTTGTGTAGTAATTTCATAACAGTAAGTGATTTAATGCTAACTATTGCACTCAGCACTTGACTTATCACCTTTTTTTCTATCTTTAGCCAGCGATAATAGTACAGCAGTTTCCTAGGGCACTCGTGTGAATAAGTATTAATTGATACTGCACATCTGCTTCCCAGCTTGTTGGTAGAAGATGCTGCGGAGAAAGCCCACCCGTCTGGAGCTGAAGTTGGATGACACTGAGGAGTTCGAGAGTGTCAAGAAAGAGCTTGAGGTGAGTAGCCACACTATCATGAATAATCTATAGTATTTGCAGGTATAAAAGCATAAAATACCATCTTATTAGTGTATGAACAATGCAGTCCCCATGGACTTTGCAAGAAAAGCTTGATGATTAGCAGAACTTCCATTTGTCTAACTACCACCCACACTTATTTTCTCTTTCAGAGTCGGAAGAAACAGCGAGATGAGGTGGATGTTGTTGGCGTGGCGATGTCGAGTGACATGGTGGGGGCCAGTAGTGGAACAGGGGATGGGAAGACACGGGAACAGATGATCAATGAGAGAATAGGCTACAAGCCCCATCCTAAACCCAACACCTTGCCATCGCTCTTTGGAAACCTGCAATTTTAGGTTCCTAATGGACACATTAGAGACTGCTAAAACTGTTGGCCCCTCCAGCATTGGTGTGTGGTTGGCACAGTGACTGTGCTCTTGACATGGTCAGGGATATTTGTTTACCTGAGATAAGTATATCTCTACAAATAAATGTGTACTTTGAGGATCACTTTGCATTTATAACAGTCTAAAGTAATGTTGCTGCATTTACCTGAAAAGTTATGACTTGCGATACAAAGTGTGGCCTTTTGTACAATTTAATGTTTGATGGGAGCGGTTGTGTACAGCGGTTTCCCTCCTTTATTACAAACATCCAGACTTTGTAGTCCCAGGAAGGTGAAGGTAGCATCTGTGGAAAGATGGATGAACTGAATGGACTTGATAACTAATCAGTTATTACTTACAATGGTATGATTGTACTTTTATTTGCCTACAAGGCCGCATTATGTCAAGGACCGGAGAATGCAACAGAATCAAACAAATACAGTTCTTGAATGATACCATTTATTACTTGTTTTCTCTAAAAAGATTATAGTACTGTAAATATGTAAAGCTATACAGACATGTTCACACTGATGATGCGCTAGAGTGCTGGTCAGATTCCCACTGTTGTTTTGGCCAATTTGCTTCAACACTCGGTTTGTACAGTAGACTATACTAATATCCTCTTTATACATGATCCCACGTGGTAAAGCAGAAACGGTTATATGTTCAAGTATACACTAACTATTAATGTCCCTGGCTTGATTGTAATGTAATGAGAACGTGTGGCTGTTAAATCCAGTTATAGCAATTGGGAATTTGACCCCCAAACCAGACACAGCACAATGTCACTCAGGCAACTGATAAACATTTTACTACAGTCATTTATCTCAGAAATGGAAAAAAAGCACAACATTAAGAAATGAAAAAGACATACCTAAAAGTGAAATATTTTCTCTTTAGGTTCTACTTCATAGAAATCCCCCTTCTGTAAAAGTATGTACTGTCAGTAGTGTGCGGCCTAAGCACCGATAGGTCACAAGAAGTGCAGAAATCATGTGGTACTAGGCCAGTCTGAGAAAGCACTGGATCCAGTCTCCTACTTTCCCAGAGTTCTCTGCTTGTCCTTGGGACTGGAAGACTTGCTCCAATAAGGACACTAGTATCCATGTTGTGTTGACTGTGTCTCCCGAGTGGCGCAGTGGTCTAAGGCACTGCATCGCAGTGCTAGCTGTGCCACTAGAGATCCTGGTTCGAATCCAGGCTCTGTCGTAGCCGGCCGCGACTGGGAGACCCATGGGGCGGTGCACAATTGGCCCAGCGTCGTCCAGGGTATGGGAGGGAATGGCCGGCAGGGATGTAGCTCAGTTGGTAGAGCATGGCGTTTGCAACGCCAGGGTTGTGGGTTCGATTCCCACGGGGGGCCAGTATGAAAAAATTACAAAAATAATAATGTATGCACTCACTAACTGTAAGTCGCTCTGGATAAGAGTGTCTGCTAAATGACTAAAATGTAAATGTAATGCGCTACTTTAACCCTATTGAATGAACACACCAAAAGTTACTTCCCAGTTATAGCAGGGAATCCCACTTTATCAAGTGATAGTTAACCCTTTTTAGGTTGAGGTTTTTAGGCATGTCCTTATGTGCTCAGATTAGACCCAGTAATCTGTTCAATACATTTGTTTCTTGAAACAAGCCAATTAAAGATTTGGCCAGCAACAATTTAAGATAGTGAAGATTTAAAAAGGCAGACACTTGAATTTAGACATCAAATGTTAACTAAAATATCTTAGCTGGAAGTGATACTAGCAGTAGGTTTGTTTGACATGTACATATGTTTTTTTACATTGGCTTCTTAATGTGCAAGAGCCAATTTTGAGTGTACATTTATGGGTCAGATCAAGCCTACTCTTAAGTGAAGCATCATTGGTAAATACTGAGGTTTTTATTCATAAACTATCCAAAATGGAACATTGCATAGCAGTGTGTTGGGGTTGAAGAGGGTTTTAAGGGTCATCACTATTTCTGCTGCATTATACTCTTTAATTAATATAATCACATGACACGTACAGTGTACTGTACTTAATTGCTCGTCCATTGGACAACCCACACAATCTCAAGTATGACCTTTGACTCCTGTTGTGAGACACTGATTATGTATGGCCCCCACCGGATTGTCAGATGGAATGCAGATATGACTTGGCTTCAGAATGCCAGAGCCCAGCATTTTTCCCTGGTTAGGAGCTACTCTAGGCCCTATTCATTTAACTACTCACTGCTTGCACCAGCACACTGTTCTTCAAGGAGAAAGTTGTTGCAAATGCCCTGTGTGAGCAGAAGAGCCTAGGTCCGATGCTATAAGGCTGAACGTGCACTGATTGTTGCGCAATAATACAAATAGACTGAGAATTGCACGACTGGGGGAAGAGTGGATGTTTAGCTCTTTTCACAGAGACGTGGAGATTGAGACGGGGGGGGGGGTATGTTGGTATAACAGCAGCAAGCATTTGGAATACCAACATCGTGTTACGGTGACACAGGTAGTCTTCTAGAGCTACCAATAGGACAGACTGTCACAAATGTAAAAACTCATGGTCACCGTATGAAGAGAAAAAAAAGTATGCTCTCACTAACTGTAAGTCGCTCTGAATAAGAGCGTCTGCTAAAATGACTAAAATGTAAAATGTCATAATTCACATTTGCCATCGAGCAGCTTTAGTGTGACAAAGTGAACTGTCCAAATGTGATACATGTATATACAACTGGATGTATGATGATGACGATGGGGATTGAAAGGAGAATGCCTGTGTGTGTGTTTATGTGTGTGGGAGGATGAATAAAGACCAGGTGGGGGTGTTAGTGACAGTGTTCGGTGATGTCGACAACCACAGCCTTTTTCCAGCTGAATAAGAAATATCCCACCGCGGCCCCCGCTGCCACGGCGATACACAGGTAAGCGTTGTAGGTCATGAAGACCAACATAAGGAAGTAGCTGACCACCACCTGGATGATGTGTAACACTGTCTGCAATAAGTGGGACAGACTCAGCATCCGCTGGCTGCAGGGGAGAGAGAAGGAAACAGGATTATTAAAAGGATTATTTTCAATCAATTCATTCACAGCACTCTGCAAGTCTGGTGTTAATGGCTACTTAGACATTTTTTAATTCATGTTATGGCCACAACATTCCCCACAAACAGTAAGGCAGGGCAGCAGGTAGCCTAGTGGTTAGATCATTTGGCCAGTCTGTGAGGGTGTCTCAGGGAGAGTTGGGATATGTAAAAAAACATTTCAGATTCACACATGCGTATTAATACATACTTGAAATTGGACAAATATAAGCACCCACCAAATGTTTATAAAGCTTCAAAATGTCCTACTACAAGTTAATGTGGAGATATTAGCCTTTTTTGGCTGCCATGTCTAGAAGTCTCACATTTGGGGTGTAAACTGGAACACTTCACTACAGTACTACTGTGTGTCCGTTTAGTGAGGAGGCCTGTTGCATATTTGGTCTCACTCACCCTACAGTCTTGTGGGTCTCCATAAGCATGGTGCCGTCTGCTCCTGGGACAGGCATGGAGTTATAGCGCACGTTGACCTGGTTCCTCCTCAGCAGGAACTCCCTGCTGATCTTCAGTCCTTCGTAGAGCACAGCCAGCATGAAACAACCAATGCAGGCCCCTGCCATCTCTGAGAGAGGAGACATGGTCGAGATGTTAATTTTGGTTAGATATTCAAATTTGTATTTTTGGGGATAATAATGAACTGTTAATGGCCATGGTCATAAAATACTTTTTGTACTACATTTCAAGTCTTCAAATGCATTCTGGAAACACAAACACACTTACCTCCAGGTGTGTTGATGATCAAACCGGCAAACAGCAGCTCCACGTTTGTGTAGCCAAAGTAGAAGGTCATTTGCTTCAGAAGAGGAATAGAAAACAATAAATAGTATTACACACCTACAGAACCAAGGGTTTTACAGTGATTCAGCTCACACAGCAGAGAAAAATGTCAAGCAGGCCGTTTGAACTACAGTTTAAAACCATTCATCTTAATCAGATTTGCAACTTTGTGAGAGGTGGTAGAAAGTGCAGAGACGGGGTGCCAAGCCTAAATAAATCCCACACTGTAACAGAGAGAAATTAGTGTGTGATTTATTTACGGATGTGGCCTCGGGTTGTTTGGCAAGGCCCACTCACCATCATCATCATTCCCCCTCCTGCACAGTGTCCTATTCCATGCCCTCCTCCATCCCCATGAGAGTCTGTCCCCATGGGAGGAGCCACGGTGCCAGCCATGTTGCCGTGGTCGTGGTGCTCATGGTGCGTGTCCATGTTCATCTGTACTGTAGGACTGCAAGAACCAGGAAATACAGACACAAAATACACATCAGTCATGCACACTTCACACAGACTAATTTGTCCACGACAGGTAGCTTTTGTTGTAGGTATCAAAGGTGTTTCGAAAATTCTTGCTTAGGGCAAACCTGAACGTTGTGAAAATTCTGTGCAACTTCCAACACGCGTTTACTGTGCACACTGAGGCTGTACCTGCTTTAAGTTACAGTTTTAACAGTGGCCAAGTAGGCTACTGTGGCTATTTGATCATAATGTAGGTCTACCAGAGTGGCCTACCATTAAAAACAATGGAGAAAATGCATCCCATAACATTTTAACATGGACATAGCTGTTCTATCATTCAGCCTACAGTAGCAGCCAATGTGGGGTGTTCAATGTAGGCCTACATTCCATGAGACCTTTGAAAACAACATGCAGGGCTTGACATTAACCTGTTGATCCACTTGTCCTTCAGACAAGGTGGTGACTGAAAATGTTGTTGTTTGATGCAAGAAACCACTTTACAAAATAAAAAGCATTATTATTCCCATACAATCAGAAAAATTATGCTACACTCTGCCTATAGAGTACCACAGTAGGAGTCATAATACCAATAAAACCTTGCGGTCAAACAAGGAAATGGTTCTAATAGTTTTTCCACCATTAATTTTATAAACACTTAAAATAAGGGCTGTGTTTCGTGTAGGCTTACCCTGGCGTGACATTTTGATAACCGTGTAAATCTCTCTAGGACAAGGTGATTTTCTATCAACATAGTCCCCTCTATTTACCCCACAAAAATGAAATGCTAATTAGCTGCTAATGTGGCTATCATAAAGAACTACAGATGCCATTATGATCTGGACGAGACTGCCTGATTCGAGGCAAAGGTAAGAATCTCCAGATGAACTATCTAATGTTAGCTAAATTTAGAAATGAATAAATTGGCTACATTTCTTTAAATTTAAAATTCTGTGAACTGTCTTGTGCAAGTTGTAAATTGATAATGCCTGTTAGCAAAGGTGTCAGCTAGAGATGACGTGCAGGAGCTTGCAGAGATTTGTAGTCTTGCATGATTTCTACGTTGATGCTAATTTGCATTTTTGAATCAGCGTAAATAGAGCCGAATATATTGATAAAAGTCACCTTGCCTGAGAGAGATTTACATAGTTATCAAAACGTCACACCAGGGTAAGCCTACACGAAACACAGACCTTATTTTAAGTGTTTCTAAAACCAGACAAAATGAATGGTGGAAAAACGATTGGAACCATTTCCCTGTTTGACCGCTAGGTTTTATGGGTATTATGACACCTCCACTGTGGGGCTCTTGTAGGAAGCAATCACTCCCCTATTGCTGACTACAAATGATCTATAACTGGGCTAATAACTCACTAACTAGCAAAGGATATGAACAAAATGTGCACACGTGGCTACATGCAGCTCTCGCTTTGATCTCAAACAAAGCGCATCTACTCACGACCTCTCATGCTATAAACACAGTCCAGTTCAAAGTAAATGGCACAGATCCATATATGGCAATGGTCTATTTGCATATAGGCCTACTGTAGCTCTGATTGGTTATGCCACACCGGTCTGTGTAGAGTACTGGCTGAGTCCTGCGTGTCAATGCAATAGAATTCTACTCCGATGCGTTCTGCCTACATCAACATCTCTTGCATAGTTAGTTTTGCATACTAAAAGTCTTGCATAGTTCATTTTGTTTCGGTATGTTGCATTGGAAGTGGCTAATATTGCGTTGATTCGATCACAATTGCCACAGTAAAGGGAAGTGTTGATAGTGTTAACAGGGAAAACTCTAGAAAGTTGAGTGAAGTTCAATCTTGTGCTTCTCTCTGTGGGCTGATATTTCTTCTGCCCATGCACGCAGTTTAGAGGGAACATTGCCCCACCCTATTGCCTTAGCAGCATTGTAGGACTCTTGCTTATTATCGTCCAGGAAAAACGCTTAGTGTGCAATTTTCCAGGTGCCTGCACATTGAATCGAATTTAGGTCCTCTCAAACCACATTTTCCAGGTTTATGAGGACACAGGTCCGTGTTTGACTCTGTGAGCTTAAAGAGGGATAAAGTGGGTAATCACTCAGACTTGGAGTAGCCTGGTCCTTGGCTTGGCACCAGATCCTCTCTAATGCACCTTGGTTAGCACCGATTAAAAAGTTAAGACCGTAATTAAACGAGTCAGTCAAAGTCTCCAAAGTGCCCAGTGTTATTGCTATGGAGAGACAGTGATGGTGTGGTTCAGCTGAGAGGTGTTTTAACCATGAACCCCAACCTACTGTACTGAACCCACTGGTGGAGAATGCTGACTGGGGTCTATTGTAAACGCTGATTGAAACTGTTTTCTTGAGTTTGAGTTTAAGTTTATTTTTACAGGGACAGTGCACATTAATCAACGTTTCAGTAAAAGTGCCGGTTTTAGCCAGCCGGCTAATTTTCAACCGCAGTCCCTGGGCAGGTTATTAAAAACAATTACAATATAGACAATAACAACATAGAACAAGACATAGCATACAGACATAGCAACATAGAACAAGCAAGACGTAGCATACAGACAGAGCAACATAGAACAAAAAGCAGCAAGACAAAATTCATAAAAGCAACAACGTGTTTCCACACCTCACAAGTTACAGACAACAGACATGGAAAGCGGCAACACACAGCTAGGGACCATGTTCACAAATCTGATTGACCTTTAGCCATGTCTTCAAGCATTTTGTGAAAGTGTGATATGTGGTGCAGTTATGTGTGTCTGATGGCAGTGTATTCCAGACATGGGAAGCTCTCACAGAAAAAGCGGATTTACTAAAGGTGCTTTTCCTTAGGGGAACTACACAGTCACCTCTCATGGCAGACCTTGTGGATCTGCTGCCATATGTTTGGGTTTTCTGTTTAACAAAAATACTGAGTGGAGGGGGAGCCAAGCCATTTAGGATCTTGAATACAAGACATGCATCGGTGTATTGCACAAGATTTTCCCAACTCAGGAGCTCATGCTTTCTAAGGATGTGACAGTGATGATGGCTATTGGGCTTCCTATCAAGCAATTTGTGAGCCTGTTTGTAGACAGACTGAATAGGTCTTACTGTTGTACAGCAAGCTTGGGCCCAACTAGCCAAACAGTATGTTAAGTGGGGGAGTATCATAGATTTGAAGTACAGTTTTGCTACCTCTGTAGTCAAACAATTTCGTATAAATCGGAAATTAGCTAGGACATCAAGTACGTGCAAAAGGAAGCACAGTATCCAGACTATAAATGTTTATAGTTCAAGATAACGATTACAGCGTTGCCATTTTGTAATCTAGTTATTGATAATGCAATTACAATGGTTAGGCTAATTATAGTTGCGTTTGTTGGATCTGAAGAGTACACAAATTGAGGAAAGAACAGACACATATTAGGCTACAGCTAGAACCACATGGTCCCAAGAACTGTGAAGCCAGTTTGGACCACTGTGTGCCAAGGCTATTTCATACACAGCTTCAGGTTCATCCAAATCTACTAGACATGTCACCTTAAAAGCACCTTCACTCCCTACTTGAGAGAGAGAGAGAGAGAGCAATCATTCAAAGAGGAAGAATTAGCCACTTGACTCGAGAGCTCCATCAGGACCCTTACTAATCTAATGGCCAATAAATTCCCACTTAATTGACATCAATGTCAATCAATTAGAGAAAAACATGATATACGAAAAGGTCTAGAACACACCAAGGGAGAAACCAATGACATCAGCGGACAAGGAAAAGAGACATCGAGAATCTAAATGAAAAGACACAAAATCATATAATTTAACCTGCTGGTTTCCAGTCAAAACCTCTGTTGCCTCATGTTGTTCTATTCTGCTCTGCTAGACTCAGTTGCTGCCACAGTGAGAAGTTAGCCATTCCCAAAAGTATAACCCTCACCAGAACAAACAGGCAAGACTCAGGTAGACATCAGTGGCGGTGGGTGCAGTTTAAGATTAGGGAGGACGATATATATATATTTTTATGAGCATGACCTTATTTCTATTACAGCATATTGGATGACTGTCATTCATATTACATTCATTTACATTTTAGTAATTTAGCAGACGCTCTTATCCAGAGCGACTTACAGTTAGTGAGTGCATACATTTTTCATACTGGCCTCCCGTGGGAAACGAACCCACAACCCTGGCGTTGCAAACGCCATGCTCTACCAACTGAGCTACACGGGGCCCAGCTCAATGTAATGTTGACAGGTTTGGCTACTACATGATACTCGAATTTGAGTGACGCATTCAATACCGCCTTGCACACTCTTGGCTGCATCTAGCTGATCTGGGGTGTAATCATTAGTCCAAACAGTTGTTTTGCAACTGAAATTCAGATAGGTCCATCCCGTTTCATTTAGTTTGCATCTGTTTAAGAAACAAACGTTTTGCAACAGAATTGGCGGAATGAATACACCCCTGATCACCCGCACACACAGTTCACTTTCATAGCAGCCACATACAGCATAATAACTTTTCTGGTTGTATAATTCCTTCTCGGATCTACGCACTCTCCTCCTCTCACCTTTTCCCTTCGCTTTTGGACTCTCCAAGCCAAACCTTCATATAACCGTGGGTGTCTGAGTGTTTTATGAAATAATACTCCAGTCTGAAATTAAACAACTTAAACCAGGTAGAAATGATAATGAACTCATTATTTTTTTATCACGATTTTCAATATAGAGCGCACTATTGTGAGTTTATCAACATTCTTCATCAAGAAAATGGGCAAAATTCTATTACTGACAATGAAAGAGGTGGGAACGTTGTTCCCTTGTCATATAATTGCTACATGTATCAATATAGTATTAAAAATAGTTTTCCAGATTGTATTTGGCGATTGTTTTTCACGATGTATATTGGTTTGCGACTGAGAAAACCTGGTTCAATTTGGGTCCCGAGGCAAACCCAGTTGAGAACCACTGCTTTAAAGCAAGACAAGAACAGTCTAGAGTCGAGCTACACCCTTGTCTCTCTGAGTTCAGAGAATTTTCATTACAATTGCACTCCACATGAGGTTGTAAAAGCCATTGTGAAATGTTCCTGCAAGTCATGGAATCATAAACCTGTGAACTCAGTGATCTTTAACCAAAGCAAATCCTCACTAAATGGTTTTGTATGTATGTGAGTGGAATTCCTCAGAAACAACACACACAAGTTTAACTCATGAAGTAAGCTACGAAATGTAGGAAGATCGTTACAACAAATGGTGAAAAGGCCTTTGATAAAGTACGACTAGAAATTATATACACTGAACAAAAATAAACGCAACATGTAAAGTGTTGGTCCCATGTTTCCTGAGCTGAAATGAAAAATCCCCAAAATGTTCCATTAGCAGAAAAAGCTTATCTCAAATTTTGTGCACAAATTTGTTTATATCCCTGTTAGTGAGCATTTCTCCTTTGCCAAGATAATCCATCCACCTGACAGGTGTGGTATATCAAGAAGCTGATTAAACAGCATGATCATTACACAGGTGCACCTTGTGCTGTGGACAATAAAAGGCCACTTTAAAATGTGCAGTATTGTCACACAACACAATGCCAATGAGGGAGCATGCAATTGGCACGCTGACTGCAGGAATGTCCACCAGAGCTGTTGCCAGAGAATTGAATGTTTATTTCTCTACCATAAGCTGCCTCCAACCTCGTTTTAGAGAATTTGGCAGTACGTCCAACCAGCCTCACAACTGCAGACCACGTGTAACCACGCCAGCGCAGGACGTCCACACCCGGCTTCTTCACCTGTGGGATCGTCTGGGGGGGGGGGGGCCTAATTTATTTATTTAAATTTACTGATTTCTTATATGAACTGTAACTGAAATCTTTGAAATTGTTGCATGTTGCATTTATATTTTTGTTCAGTATATAAATGCATGGACTATTTTAATTTTGGAGAATCTCTTATACAATGAGTTCAAGTGATGTATAGTAACCCCAGGTGTAAATGATGGCTACTTCTCAGAAAGTATTAAACTGTCAAGAGGAGTAAAACAAGGTTGTCCACTATTGGCATATGTATTTATTATGGCCATAGAAATGTTAGCTATTAAAATCAGATTCAACAGTAAAAACAAAGGTGTCATTGTACGCTGAAGACTCATGTTTTCTTTTAAATCTGCAATATCGATCCCTGCACTGCCTCATAGAGGATCTAGATAACTTCTCTAACCTCTCTGGATTACAACCAAACTATGATTAGTGTCCCATATTATGTATTGGATCGCTAAAAAAATAAAATGTTTACATTATTGTGTCGTTTACCAATAAAATGGTATGACAGTGAAGTGGACATACTCTGTGTTCATATCCCGAAAAAAATAAATGATCTCAATACAATATATTTTAATAGAAAGTTAGCAAAAATAGATAACATCTTGCTACCATGGAAAGGTAAATACTTGTCTATTTGTGGAAAATTCCCCCTGATAAATTTTTTAGTCATATCCCAGTTTACCTATTTACTGATGGCCCTGCCTACACCAAACAACTTGTTTTTTAAAATTATATGAGCAAAAAAGATGCCACTTTATTTGGAATGGCAAGCAAGACAAAATTAAACGGGTCTATTTATATAATGAATATGAATTCTGAGGACTAAAATTATGAAATATTAAAACATTGGACCTCTCACTAAAGGCTTCAGTCATACAAAAGTTATACTTATATCCGAACTGGTTCTCCAGTAGATTAGGAAGAATGTCTCACCCTATGTTCAAAAATGGCCTTTTCCCATTTATTCAGACTACAACCTCTCACTTTCAGTTATTTGAAAATTTAATAATATCCAAAATATCACTATTTTTAAAACAAGCTGGTTATTTTTGGAGAAAAAACGTTTAAAAGGGTATAATCTTTGTTTATGATATAATAAATAGGACTGGGGGCGTTGTCACACATGGAGCTAAAAAATATATATGGAAATGTCTGCTCTATCCAAAATTACAACCAACTGATTGCAGCATTACCGCAAAAATGGAGGAGGCAAGCCCTCCCGAGTGGCGCAGTGATCTAAGGCACTGCATCGCAGTGCTAGCTGTGCCACTAGAGATCCTGGTTCGAATCCAGGCTCTGTCGTAGCCGGCCGCGACCGGGAGACCCATGGGGCGGGGCACAATTGGTCCAGGGTAGGGGAGGGAATGGCCGGCAGGGATGTAGCTCAGTTGGTAGAACATGGCGTTTGCAACGCCAGGGTTGTGGGTTCGATTCCCACGGGGGGCCAGTATGAAAAATTTAAAAAATAATGTATGCACTCACTAACTGTAAGTCGCTCTGGATAAGAGCGTCTGCTAAATGACTAAAATGTAAATGTAATAAAAGACCACAATTGGGTTGATACAAAAAAGTATACCAGTTCTGTGTTGGGAAGGGATTTTTGATCCTTGATGAAAACCTGCTCAGGACCTCAGACTGGGGCGAAGGTTCACCTTCCAACAGGACAACGACCCTAAACACACAGCCAAGACAACGCAGGAGTGGCTTCGGGAAAAGTATCTGAATGTCCTTGAGTGGCCCAGACAGAGGCTACATCTGAAAATAGCTGTGCAGCGACGCTCCCCATCCAACCTGACAGAGCTTGAGAGGATCTGCAGAGAAGAATGGGAGAAACTCCCCAAATACAGGTGTGCCAAGCTTGTAGAGTCATACCTAAGACGACTCAAGGCTGTAATCGCTGCCACAGATGCTTCAACAAAGTACTGAGTAAAGGGTCTGAATACTTATGTAAATGTAATATTTCCGTTTTTTATTTTTTATAAATTTGCACAAATTTCTAAAAACCTGTTTTTGCTTTGTCATTATGGGGTATTGTGTGTAGATTGATGAGGAAAAAAAACAATTTAATCAATTTTAGAATAAGGCTTTAACATAACAAAATGTGAAAAAAGTCAAGGGGTCTGAATACTTTCCGAATGCACTGTATGTAGCTTGTTTTAGGTTGCAGGTTCAGGAATGGCTGAAAATCACAATATTTACTTAAATCTATCTTTGCAAATAGCACTGCTGGGTGACTTGAAAAGCCATGGTCAGTCTATCAATAATATAATAGTACTTTTAGTAAAGATGTTCATCTTTCATTTAGAATCTGTGTAAACTATGAGAATAGAAAGGTCAAGACTGGATGTTTTTAGAGATAGATGGGTGGCTGAAGGGTGGGATAAAAAAATTCAATAAAGATATAACTAATGTAAAATGTACCATATCCATAAAATGTATATAGTATGTATAAGCTGGAAGTAGAAGCCTAAGTATAGTTGTCCATTAGTTTACTCCAATTAGGGGAGGGGAGGTAGGGTTAGGGGAAAATAAAGGAAAATATATTTATTTATAAAATAATATTTTTGGGGATTGGAAATGATGCAAACAATTACATTGATAGAACCCACAATATATCTGCAATTTTAAAGCTGATCTAGCCCCTTAAATAAAAAAAACAATGGTGATCATCATGTAGATATGACTCACACTAGAAACGACTGCTCTCAAAGTACTGTGGATAATAGCCTAAATTAACCCTGCATATATTAGCTTCCTCAGTTGAGCTATACATAGAAACAGTCCATGCTTTCCTTCCAGAACAGTCAAAGACTGTTTGGAGCATGTGGAAGTAAAAACAGCTGAAATACATTTCATACAAGGAAAATGTATAATATTAAATGGTAGCCTAAACATTCTTGTTTCGATAATTTATATGAAATAGTTTTATTCCAGATAAAATCTCACATTTTAAAACTTACCCAAATGTCTCACCACGCCTCTGTTACAGCCAAATCAATGACAAGATACTTGTCAATACGTGTGTGTTCATGCAACCTATCAATGCGTACAGGTGTGTAGTCTGATCCTGAGTGTGCTCTCCTGCTCGAGTCAGGGAGAGAGTGAAAGTGTGTCAGAGTGGGAATGTGAATGTGTGTTGTGCACAAAGTTGCTCTCTCATGACTACCCTCCTCATGTGACCTTTCATCTGCCTCTCATTTCCTCTAATCCAGCCAATCACATGGGTTTGTCACCCTCCCCCCCAGGAAAATAGTCATTACAAAAAGCAAATAAAGCGCTGGACAAAACATACATTAGCTGATGAAATAATGGGATGTCCACTCACTTATTTGTTTGGTAAAACCCACATCAGCTAGCCTATAGTGTAACACAAGAAAAAATGTCTGATCAAATTAATTGATCATAAACTGAATGCCAACAAATAATGGCATTTCCTGTGCTTGGGTCCATGTACAGGGAATTGTTAATCATTAGACTTTATGGTGCCCAAACTCTGAGACAAAGATAAAGGATAATGGATACACTGCAGCGTGCTGTGAATAATAAAATGCCTTTAGAAAGTATTCACACCCCTTGACCTTTTCCAGATTTTGTTGCGTTACAAAGTGGGATTAAAATTGATTTAATTGTTATTTTTGGTTTAACGATCTACATAAAATACTCTGTAATGTCAAAGTGGAATAAAAATGCAAGGCATTGAAAAACCTCCATAGTCTTTGTGATTGAATCTGTGCTAGAAATTCACTACTCGATTGAGGGACCTTACAGATAATTGTATATGTGGGAGATGGGGTAGTCATTCAAAAATCTCGTGTAGTGACACAAAATCTCAACTTTAAGCAATGTAACAACAAAATGTGGAAAAAGGGGTGTGAATTGTTTCTGAAGGCACCGTACATGTAATGTACTTGCACCTTTAGTCTAAAATGAGTTCTAGTGTGACTGTGTTGGAACAGTCTGACCTCCAGCTTTGTGGAACATGAGGTGACAGTGCATGCCATGTCAAGGCTGACGTAGGCCTATTATATGAAAGCCAAAGGTGCTGATAAAACTGCCTCATAATAATCCTCACCAAAGATTAAAAGTGACCGAAGCAATGATGAAATGTGCAGTAAATAGCACAGAGTACAAAATTATGGAACAGAAAATAGCATCAACAACCACTGACCAACAAAACATTCCATGATTGTGCAACTCAAACATTGTGATTAGAGGTCAGAGGTGATGATTACTCAGTGAAGCCTACTATTTACTCAACAGTTTGTGTGTGTGTGTGTGTGTGTGTGTGTGTGTACTGTAGCTTTGTTTAGAGAGCGATATTAACTTTCTTCAGCTCTTGCCTTTAGTAAAAGCTGCATCCTCAAGTTCAGCACCTTGATGGAGCAAAGATAAGCTGAGTAGAGAAGACAATGTTCAAAGCCATTTTCTGCCTGCGTCTGTCAATGTGGCAACATGCCATTTGGAAAGGCCTGCCTAATTCACTAATCACTTCAGTGGACAGTAAAGAAAACCCTTGACCTGCAATTTGAAAGTGTGCAATTAATCAGTCTTATCTAAATAAATACTGTACGATATCGCCATCAATGACCCTAACTGGCCTCACATGATCAAGTATACCTAAGCCTAATCCTTTCACATTTAACAGTACACCACTGACCTAATTTTGCTACATGCTGCATAATTGCCAGACTTTAAACACATTTCTAATGAATGCACAAGAGCCACTACTTGATGCAAATACAGTACAGTAAAGGGTAGCTAGAAAGATATGGCATATAGAAGCAAACCGGATGGACATCATGAAAATGATCGGAGAGGTTGAGGGTAAAGGAAAATCAGGAGTAAAAACAAACAAAATAGAACTATTGTAAAATTGACTATGTCCATAAAATGTATATAGTATGTATAAGCTGGAAGTAGAGGCCTAAGTGTTGTTGTTCACTAGTTTAATCCAATTATGGGAGGGGTGGTGGGGTTGGAAAGTAATCAAGGAAAATATATATTTTTAAAGGATATGTGTATATACACTACCGGTCAAAAGTTTTAGAACACCTACTCATTCAAGGGTTTTTCTTTATTTTTACTATTTTCTACATTGTAGAAACATTGCCAACATTGGTAGGGGGTATACAGAAGATAGCCCTATTTGGTAAAAGACCAAGTCCATATTATAGCAAGAACAGCTCGAATAAGCTAAGAGAAACGACAGCCCATCATTACTTTAAGACATGAATGTCAGTCAATACTGAAAATGTCAAGAACTTTGAAAGTTTCTTCAAGTGCAGTCGCAAAAACCATCAAGAGCTATGATGGCTCTCATGAGGACCGCCACAGAAATGGAAGACCCAGAGTTACCTCTGCTGCAGAGGATAAGTTCATTAGAGTTACCAGCCTCAGAAATTGCAGCCCAAATAAATGCGTCACAGAGTTCAAGTAACAGACACATCTCAACATCAACTGTTTAGAGGAGACTGTGTGAATCAGGCCTTCATGGTCGAATTGTTGCAAAGAAACCACTACTAAAGGACACCAATAAGAAGAAGAGACTTGCTTGGGCCAAGAAACACGAGCAATGGACATTAGACCGGTGGAAATGTGTCCTTTGGTCAGGAGTCCAAATTGGAGATTTTTGGTTCCAACCGCCGTGTCTTTGTGAGACGCGGTGTGGGTGAACGGATGATCTCCTCATGTGTTTTTCCCACCGTAAAGCATGGAGGAGGAGGTGTTATGGTGTGGGGGTGGTCTGCTGGTGACACTGTCTGTGATTTATTTAGAATTTAAGGCACACTTAACCAGCATGGCTACCACAGCATTCTGCAGCAATACGCCATCCCATCTGGTTTGGGCTTAGTGGGACTATCATTTGTTTTTCAACAGGACAATGACCCAACACCTCTGGCTGTGTAAGGGCTATTTTACCAAGAAGGAGAGTGATGGAATGCTGCATCAGATGACCTGGCCTCCACAATCCCCCGACCTCAATCAAATTGAGATGGTTTGGGATGAGTCGGACCGCAGAGTGAAAGAAAAGCAGCAAACAAGTGCTCAGCATATGTGGGAACTCCTTCAAGACTGTTGGAAAAGCATTCCAGGTGAAGCTGATTGAGAGAATGCCAAGAGTGTTCAAAGCTGTCATCAAGGCAAAGGGTGGCTATTTGAGGAATCTCAAATATAAAATATATTTTGGCTTGTTTAACACTTTTTGGGCTACTACATGATTCCAAGGGTTATTTTATAGTGTTGATGTCTTCACTATTATTCTACAATGTAGAAAATAGTAAAAAATAAAGAAAAACCCTTGAATGAGTAGGTGTTCTAAAACTTTTGACCGGTAGTGTATATGTATGTATTTATATCTATGTATGTATTTATATGTACAGTGGGGGAAAAAAGTATTTAGTCAGCCACCAATTGTGCAAGTTCTCCCACTTAAAAAGATGAGAGTGGCCTGTAATTTTCATCATAGGTACACGGCAACTATGACAGACAAAATAATTTTTTTTTTTTTTTAAAATCACATTGTAGGATTTTTAATGAATTTATTTGCTAATTATGGTGGAAAATAAGTATTTGGTCAATAACAAAAGTTTCTCAATACTTTGTTATATACCCTTTGTTGGCTATGACACAGGTCAAACGTTTTCTGTAAGTCTTCACAAGGTTTTCACACACTGTTGCTGGTATTTTGGCCCATTCCTCCATGCAGATCTCCTCTAGAGCAGTGATGTTTTGGGGCTGTCGCTGGGCAACACGGACTTTCAACTCCCTCCAAAGATGTTCTATGGGGTTGAGATCTGGAGACTGGCTAGGCCACTCCAGGACTTTGAAATGCTTCTTACGAAGCCACTCCTTCGTTGCCCGGGCGGTGTGTTTGGGATCATTGTCATGCTGAAAGACCCAACCACGTTTCATATTCAATGCCCTTGCTGATGGAAGGAGGTTTTCACTCAAAATCTCACGATACATGGCCCCATTCATTCTTTCCTTTACACGGATCAGTCGTCCTGGTCCCTTTGCAGAAAAACAGCCCCAAAGCATGATGTTTCCACCCCTATGCTTCACAGTAGGTATGGTGTTCTTTGGATGCAACTCAGCATTCTTTGTCCTCCAAACACGACGAGTTGAGTTTTTACCAAAAAGTTATATTTTGGTTTCATCTGACCATATGACATTCTACCAATCCTCTTCTGGATCATCCAAATGCACTCTAGCAAACTTCAGACGGGCCTGGACATGTACTGGCTTAAGCAGGGGGACACGTCTGGCACTGCAGGATTTGAGTCCCTGGCGGCGTAGTGTGTTACTGATGGTAGGCTTTGTTACTTTGGTCCCAGCTCTCTGCAGGTCATTCACTAGGTCCCCCCGTGTGGTTCTGGGATTTTTGCTCACCGTTCTTGTGATCATTTTGACCCCACGGGGTGAGATCTTGCGTGGAGCCCCAGATCGAGGGAGATTATCAGTGGTCTTGTATGTCTTCCATTTCCTAATAATTGCTCCCACAGTTGATTTCTTCAAACCAAGCTGCTTACCTATTGCAGATTCAGTCTTCCCAGCCTGGTGCAGGTCTACAATTTTGTTTCTGGTGTCCTTTGACAGCTCCTTGGTCTTGGCCATAGTGGAGTTTGGAGTGTGACTGTTTGAGGTTGTGGACAGGTGTCTTTTATACTGATAACAAGTTCAAACAGGTGCCATTAATACAGGTAACGAGTGGAGGACAGAGGAGCCTCTTAAAGAAGAAGTTACAGGTCTGTGAGAGCCAGAAATCTTGCTTGTTTGTAGGTGACCAAATACTTATTTTCCACCATAATTTGCAAATAAATTCATAAAAAATCCTACAATGTGAGTTTCTGGAGAAAAAAATTCTCAATTTGTCTGTCATAGTTGACGTGTACCTATGATGAAAATTACAGGCCTCTCTCATCTTTTTAAGTGGGAGAACTTGCACAATTGGTGGCTGACTAAATACTTTTTTCCCCCACTGTATGTATGTATGTATGGAGATATATATATATTTGTGAAAAAATATATATGGGGGATTGGAAGTGATGTAGACAATTACATTGATGGAAGTTACAATCTATCTGCAATATTAAAGCTGATCTACCCCCTAAGAAAAAAAGAAAAAA